GGCCATTTACTGCGCCATGGTTATTGTTCAAAGTGTTTTTTTTGATTCATCGAAATTAGTATGCCTAATCGAACTAACAATGGCAATAAATAACGAATAGAAATTTTAAATTTTACTACTGTTCTTTAATTATTAAAATTCACTGTGGAAACGTTAAATGAAAGTGTATGTAAAAGTTATCAAACCAAACCCTCATTAAAAATTATGAAAATAACGTCTCGACATATTAAACATGTTAATAGAAATTTTAAGCCAAGTTGGAAAGATGACTTTCCATGGCTTGAATATGATGCCAAAAGTAATAAAATGTTTTGTGCTTTATGTCATGACCATAATAAAAAAAATGCATTTGCGACAAATGGCAAGTAAATTATTTAAATAGGATTATATGATACAACATACATATTAGCAGTACGTATAGATGAATTATTAACAAATATTTTATATATAATTAGGGGCCACAAATATTAAACTTTATGCTGTAAAGGAGCATACTAAAACTCAAGACCATACCGATTCATGTAAAAAAAATGAAATTTTAAATACACCACCTGAACATATTAAAAGCTTGATGAAAATTATTTATTGTCTTGCTAAAAATGATATTCCATTAAATAAATTCAGTCAATTAGCTCATCTTGGTTGTGCTATTGGAGCTCCAGATTTAGTTTCTGAGAATCATCCGATTACTTATGAAAATAATACATGTGCACGTGAAATGTTATTTTCTATATCTACAACAATTGAAAAAAGTATTTGGGAGAAATTAAATATTGCTACAGCAATCGGAATTATAGTTGACAAAAGCACAGATATTTCTACAGAATCTCATCTTATTATCTACGTTAAATATCTTATTAATGGTATTATTAAAATACGATTTCTAAGTCTGTTACAAATCGAAAATAGTGATGCAAAATCTATTTATAATACTATAACTAATCCATTTGTTACTAGAAGTAAGTATTTAAATTGATACTATATTTTTTATTTTTTATATATACTAAATTATTTAATTTTATTTTTTAAATAGATCTACAACATAAAATCTTCGCATTTACATCAGATGGCGCAAGTGTAATGAGAGAAAATCTTAATGGTGTTGCTACACGAATGAAACAAATAAATCCATATATATTTACTACGCACTGTATTGTGCACAGATTAGCATTAGCCTGTGAAGCTACTGAAAAACAGGTGGAATCTTGTATATATGCTAAATCGTTATTAAAAAAAGTTTATGCTTTTTTTAATAATTCTGATAAACGGGTTCAGACTTTATCAAAATATCAAGAAGCTCTTAATATGCCGATTTTAAAAATTAAAAAAATTTTTGATATTCGTTGGCTTTCTTTTTATGAAGTGTTAAATAATTTTTGTTTATCAATTGAACCATTACTCGATACATTTCTTCATATTATAATAGAATCAAAAAATCGAAATGCTCAATATTTAATTTTTGATTTATATTCGGATCTTTGTAATTGGAAGACATTGGCATTTTTTTATTTTCTTCAAGATATTCTTTTTGAAATTTCGAATTTAAGCAAAATATTTCAAACCTGATTTTTTCATGTTTTTGATTTATATTCTACAATTCAAAATACTATTACAAAATTAGAACGAGAATATTTAAATATAGATGTTGATGATATTCCCAAATTAGGTCCAAATATTAACAAATTTTTTATTACTGTACCATCTAGAAAAGATACGAAGATCGGATCACATTATCTTATTTGGACGCCAAATCAAGAAAATGATTTACTAGCAGATATAATGAGTTTTACATCTATAAT